GATTATCCACTAATCAAGTATTTTGCATGTTTACGATATATTATAACGATGTATCAAAAATCTCTCTCTAGAGTTCTGCCTCCTTGCTAGGGTTTCGAAAATTTTCTTGCTTTCTCTTCGTCGATTCACGGGCGAAAGTTACTGCTTGGAGAGTAACGACGGCAACGGCCACTAGTACAGAAACAGTCATTCGCGTCCAAAGTAAAGCCTCATTCGCGTCCAAAGTAGCTGGGACGCAGATGTCGGGGACGCGAATTGTATATACAATTCGCGTCCAAAGCTACTTTGGACGCGAAAAACGATTAATCGCGTCCAAAGTTGAAGAACTTTGGACGCGATTTATCCGATCTGACTGTTGACTACTGACTTTTCGCGTCCAAAGTTGGTTAACTTTGGACGCGAAAAGTCAGTAAATCGCGTCCAAAGTTCTTCGACTTTGGACGCGATTTATCATTTTGTTTTAATAAAATGATAATTCGCGTCCAAAGTTGAAGAACTTTGGACGCGAATTATTGTTTTTTATTTTATTTTATTTTATTTTAATTTATTAATAAATCCAGTTTTTTTCCTGTACAAAAAATTATATTTTTCATCCTGTACATGCAATCATAACCACTACCACTTCAAAGCTTCAAAGCTTTCAACTAAAGTTCAATACATCATCAATTCGCCAACACTTTAACACTAAATAATTAAACTACACTACTTCAACACATGTGTAATAAGCTAGATAAGTACACTACTTCAACTAAGTTCAATACATCATCAATACGCCAACACTTTAACACTAAATAATTAAACTACACTACTTCAACACATATGTAATAAGCTAGATAAGTACACTACTTCAACACATATGTAATAAGCTAGATAAGTACCAACAATACATCATTACAATTCAACTAACTAATATAATTAAATCACACTTCAAAAATTTATATACATTCTTGAGTAAAATATTTAGACCAAATCTCACGAACCTCATCAATTTGCGCTTCTGAATAAGACTTTCTATTAAAGAATAATTCCTACAAAAATTTAAAATAATCAAATAATTAGTTTTAACATTACTAAAGTGTAATTTAAAACTATTTACTTTTAATAAATTTTACATACCATATCCAAATCATCAGAATCCCAACATTGAGTGCATATTTCATACATGAATCTCATCACCTAATACCCGCACTCCACACCACCCGGTTGTTGAGGACACTAGAAAATATGTATATATATTAATATGTTAAACAATAAAAATATTAATATGAAATATGAAAGATATATATACCTCAATATGAACCCAATCAACGTTGTTTTTAGATCTTCTCCCTCCTAAAGTTTCAACCGATCGAAATGCCCTATAATATACTCAAAATATAATATAAATATAAATATAAATATATATATATATATATATATATATATATATATATATGTGTGTGTGTGTGTGTGTGTGTGTGTGTGTGTGTGTGTGTGTGTGTGTGTACTTACACATTCATTGTGGCCTTAGTCTCAAACTCGCGATCACTTGATGCAATGGAGTCTAATACATAGACTTTTCTTAATGGAACAGAAATAACTAGAAGCATCCAATGATTTCTAAGGCATTTAAATGAATATGTTAAGTGTTATTCACAAATAATGCAATTAAGTTAAACAAATAATTAAAAATATAAATATTTTTTCTTACTTTTCATGGTATGGAGCTAAAATGAAGTGTCGATTCGTCTGTTCAACCATGGCATTCACAAGATATTTTGAGACCTTATCAATATCCGCACGTACAGAGTCAGCACAAATAGTCCTTGGGCAGAGGAATCCAATTGTATGAACTCCAATTTTGGAGCACAACCGACTAAGACATCTACAACATATATATAGATAATTAATAAAAATTAAAGACTAAAGACAAGTTTTTAAATATAAAAACATTATAAAAAAAATACTTACATTATAAATATTTGTAATATGGTCACATCAAGCCATCGCATCGTCAACAAGTCTTTAATATCTTGAAACAACACGTGAATGAAATCCACATCTTGATGATGGAAGATTGCCTCATCTAGATCCACGTTAATGTAATCTAAATCGAAAGGTAGGTTCTTAATAAGTCTGACCAATTTCTTAGATTCATCTCCCAATTGCTGCAGTGTATCATCATCAACAAGAAGTGGTCGTAATTGGACAGTAGATTGATCACCACTTTCAAAATTCATCATTCGGGTTTGTTTTGGATTTTCCTATGAACCAAAAGTAAAGACATAATAACAAGTAGATCGAATATCAAATATTCAAAATGTTAAAGATATTCAATATTACCTTAACTTTGTTGACTTGATCAATAGAATGACAACTGCTCCGAGTTGGTGTGCCAACTTTTGGACTTGCTTGTACATTCTTCATCAAATATTCCAGTTGGGATTGCATCAAATCAAACTTGGGCTGCATATCTTACATTGTTTCTTTTCTAATCTTTTCAGCCACTTTGTCATATATTCTCTTCTCTATGATCTTCTCCATATCACTAACTGAAACAAGCCCAGCTGAATTTCCACGACTTATGCTCTCCGGTTTACCAAACACATCCCTAATATTGGAGTACACTCCAACACCTCTCACATAGCCACCGTACTCATTGGTGCCAAGAGCTGTTGTCAATACATCATTTTGCCTTTTTGGTTGGAATGAGCCTTGACTTATCTCTTCACACTTCTCAACCTATATTTCAACAAAAAAAAAAAAAAAGATTTAAAATTTACATGTTAGTTAGTAATCTTGTCAATAATATATATATTTAAAGTATTTGTATTACTTACAATTTTATCCAACACTCCCTTCGTTTTTTCATTGGGAATGTAATAACTTCCATCTTCAGATTTTTTAGATCGCGCTCGAACCCAATCCAAACTACGATCAGTAGATGATATGTTCGAGGTAATAGCCGCACAAGAAGATTGTGAAGACAATGGGTCGCATATCAACCACTCAGACTGCTTTCCAACATAGCCTGTAGACCCTAAATAGTGAGGATGCACATTCCGCGCTTGCAACTCCCTATACTTTTGACTGTTGGCCTGCTTACACAAAAGTTATTATTTAATAATATGTTAATAATAACCATGTTACATGATTATTAAGGAAGTAAATTATGTACTGTACCTTGGCAGCTTCAGTTTCATGCGTGGTTACAAATTGCTCCCATTTTTTTTCATCCATGAACTTATATAACTCACAGGGAGAGCTATATTTTTCGTTCGGTTTGTTGATGAAGTCACGGACCAATCTTGTTTTGAAATCTTTCCAACGTAGCCGTGCATGGACCAAAATATAACTTCTTCTCGACTTAGGGAGATTAAACTCTTTCTGAAAAAAAAAACAATAAAATAACAATTAATTAGGCCTTTATTGACATTAACATATATAAACTAATGAACTCAAAACTAAAATGAAATAATGATCAATATATAAATTAAATTATTGACTATTACCTTAATTTCATCCCAGACTGCATCTTTAACCGCAGTTGGAACAAGACGCCAGTGTGGAATGTTTATGTCTATGTGAATACGAACCATAAGGCCAAGGTAATTTGAGTACTTCCTTGCATTTGGCCCAAGAGGCCTATTCTTCTCATCAAACTCAATTGCCTTAGACTCATCCTCTGGTCTCTTCTTTGTCATTTTACTGCAAGTTGTAGCTCCTCTTGCTTTACGCACTTTGCTCTCTGTTACCTTTGAAGATTCCTCCACCACCGGATCTGTGTGATCGTCAGCCATGTATATATATACCTGCACATGCATAAGATAAATATGTTATAAAGAACATCTTATAAAATATAACCATGTTAAAAAATAATAATAAGATTACATTATAGAAATTATACTGTCGGATGGTCAATCCACAACCCTTCTTCATGATCAGTACGCATGTAATTAGTATCAATGTTATCTTCACATAAAGTCACATGTTGAATACCAATAGAAAATGGTGGGGTTTCATCAAATTGGTCATATTCCTCTTCATCAACAACATCACCAACACCAACAATACTTCTTTTGCCTTGTAAGACAATTAACCACTTACTATCAATAGGATCAGAAACATAGAAGACTTGTTTAGCTTGAGATGCAAGTATAAACGGTTCATCATGATATCCTAGCCGACCAAAATCAACTAAGGTAAAACCCAAATCATCTACACGGACACCCCGCCTGTTATCAACCCAAGAACATCGGAATAGAGGAATCCTAAACACCTTATACTCAAGTTCCCAGATTTCATCAATGACTCCATAGTATGACATAGTAGCATCTACCGGGTTAGTATCTTTAGCACTAGAATACTCTCTTGATTGTGCTACTAATGTCACTCCACTATTTTGCACTATACTTTTTTGATCTTGACATTTTGTGTAAAACATATACCCATTAATATCATATCCCTCATAAGTGCTCACAACAAATCTAGGGCCATACGATAACCATCTAATGGTTTCAGTGATATTATTTGGCACTTGAGATAACTCTTGCATCACTGTATCTTTGAACCATGTGATAAATGTAGAATTGTTCTTTTGTCACCCACATTTCACCTTTAGAAGGATTTTGTTGCCTTATAATAGACAAGTGTTGTTCCAAATATGGATGAACCTCAGAAAGCTGCTGCAGTACGAGATGATGTGCTTGATTTCGGATTATTTGACTTGGGACATGTGTTTTAAACCCAATGGTACCTTTTCCTGTGAGTCTTCCCTCATGACGTGATTTAGAAACACCAATGGACTGAACATTAGCCAAATAATCAGTACAAAAATCAATCACTTCTTCAGCGCCATAAGCTTCAATTATACTCCCCTCTGGCCGATATCGATTTCTCACATATCCTTTCAAAATTCCCATGTATCTCTCAAATGGATACATATACCTCAAGAATACAGGACCACACATTTTAATTTCCCACACCAAGTGAACTATTAAATGCACCATAACATCAAAAAATTAAGGAGGGAAATACATTTCAAACTGGCATAAAGTTACTACCACATCAGCTTGCAAAGAATCCAACACCTCAGGATCAACAAATTTACTACTAATGACATTGAAAAAGTAGCAAAGCTTTGTAATTGCTTGTCTAACATGGTTAGGTAATATGCCTCTAATAGCAATAGGTAACATATGTTGCATTAGCACATGGCAATCATGTGATTTCATACCAACCAATTTAAGGTCCTTCATTGAAACAAGCTTTTTAATGTTAGATGAATAGCCAGAAGGAACCTTGACACCATTTAGACAGCTACAAAAACTTGTTTTTTCCTTTTTAGACAGAGTATAACAAGCTGGAGGTAAGTATGCCCTCTTTCCAGATTCTTGTGCTGCTAATTGAGTCCTTATCCCCAATTCTACCATATCTTTTCTAGCTTTAATACCATTTTTCGTCTTACCTTGAATATTCAACAATATCCCGATAATGCTATCACAAATATTTGTCTCCACATGCATTACATCAAGGCAATGTCGAACAGATAAGTGCTCCCAATATGGTAAATCCCATAATATAGACCTCTTTTTCCAAATACCCTTTTGACTTGTTTTTGAAGTTTTTCCCCACACATTATCAATGTTTTTCACTCGATCATAAACAACATCCCCTGATAATGGTAAGCGAGCAACTCCAGTCTCAGATTTTCCATTGAAAGTTTTTTTCCTCTTTCGATAAGGATGGTCAATAGGTAAAAAGGTTCGATGACTCATGAACACATTTTTCCTACTGTTGTTCAACCAAAGATCAACTGTTTCATCTTCACAAACAGTGCATGCCTTAGCCCCTTTAGTAGTATACCCTGACAAGTTACCATATGCTGGGAAGTCATTGATTGTGCAGAACAGCATGGCTCGTAAAGTGAAGTTGGTTTGATTATGAACATCAAATACTGTCACACCTTCATTCCACAACATCTTTAAATCTTCAATAAGCGGTGCCAAGTACACATCTATGTCGTTTCCTGGTTGTTTAGGACCAGATATTAGCAATGATAACATGATGTACTTGCGCTTCATACACAACCACGGAGGAAGATTGTAAACTGTTAAAAGAACTGGCCAAGTGCTATGGCGACTGCTCATGTTACCATGAGGATTCATTCCATCCGTGCATAGTCCAAGCCTAAGATTTCGATTTTCAGCACCGAAATCAGGAAACTTCTTGTTAATGTTCTTCCACTGAGGAGAATCGGCAGGATGTCTCAACTTTCCATCTTCTTTTCTCCCACTAGCATGCCATTGCAAATTCTTCGCATCCTTTGCATTTGAAAACAAACGTTTGAATCTTGGAATCACCGGTAGATACCACAACAACTTCGCTGGAGGACCTTTCTTCTGCTCACATGCATCATCGAGCCCTTTTCGTTTATAACGCGATGCTCCACACTTTGGACACACATGCAAGTCTTTGTTTTGATTCCAATACAAAATATAGTCGTTTGGACATGCATGGATCCTTTCAATCTCCATACTCAACAGACATAACATTTCCTTTGCCTCATAAGTTGAACAAGGAAGTTCATTCTCATTTGGAAGCATGCCCTTTAAAAGCTCTAATAGCTCCGTGAAACTCTTATCACTCCACCTATGTTTTGCTTTTACGGTATACAATTTAAGCACTGCTGATAACTTTGTAAATTTACTACATCCAGAAAACAAAGGTTTTCCAGAACTCTCAAAAAAACTTTCAAACTCTTGAGGCATTTCATTCAAATCCCCTTGCATATCCCGCATCAATTCATCTAGCCGATCATTGTCTCCATCATTTCCAACATTATCTTCATTACTTTGATCTTTCTCTACATTTTTTCTACATTCTCTTTGATTTTTACAGTTACTAGTAAGGACAGTTTCACCATGCCATATCCACCGGTCATATCCTATCTTAAAACCACGACGTATCAAATGTTCCTTAATTTGTTCAGAACTACGAAACTTTTTTAGATTTCTACAATCATAACAAGGACACACTATATAATTTTCACCAATTTTACTTGCATATTCCTCGGCAATTTTAACAAACTCTTGAACCCCATGAACATATTCAAGTGTATTGCGTTTTTTATACATCCAACTCTGATCCATATCTCCTATATATTGTCACACAACATTTAAGAAATGATAAATGAGTTAGTTTCTTAAGTTATAACTTAAAAGTTCAAATTAAAGCTTTAACTAAATAATTTTAAATTTACTAATTCATAAGGTAATGGTTGGTCAAATATGATTCCAACAAAATAAGCGAAGTACTTTAGTAATTACACGTTCATATCATATTTTACTTTTCCAAAAATAAACATCATATTTTACAATAATACACAACAAATTTGTCAACAATGCCTAACATATACAATAATACACAACGAATTTGTCAACAATGTCTAACATATACAATAATACACAACAAATTTGTATATACAATAAACAAATAATACAATAATTAATGATTTACTAATTTGTTGTGTATTATTAAGCCACTTAATTTCTCACTCCTTCCAAAAACCCATAAAAGAACTCCTAAATATTGTGTTTATTAAGCCACTTTTGACAGATAACAAATTGTTAAGTGCACAGTATAACATGTTGGCTGTTGAGGATGTGTTATTTTTATGAATAAAGTGGGTGGGCATGGCTAAGAATAAGAAAATAATTTTCTCTAATGTATCTCTTGAAATAAACAAGCACTTTGAAACATAAAGCCCACTCATTTTCATAGTCTCTGGTTTCAGAACCAGATACTTTGAGTATGAATATTTGACCTACACAATCTACTTCTATGCTCTTTGAATAGAGAGAGTTATTATGTATGAACAGATACACTATACAGACAACACGAAATTGCCTTATGGATTAGTAAATTTGTATATACAACAAATTTGTATACAATAATACACAATTTGTATAAACAAATAATACAAATAACACAACAAATTTGTATATACAACAATAACAAATAATACACAATAAACAACAATAACAAATATACAATAATACACAATAAAAACAATAACAAATAACAAAAAAAATTAAAATAATTAATGATTTTTGAAAAAAAAATAAAAAAAAAAATTAACAAACGCACCTTGGCCGGCGTTCGGAGCAGCGATGGTGGTGGCGTCCGATGTAGCAGCGGCGACCGGCGTCCGGCCTTCGTAGCAGCGGCGCTGGTGGCGTGCGATGTAGCAGCGGCGACCGGCGGTGGTTGGCGTGCGAGCAACAGCGGCGACCGGCGGTGGTTGGCGTGCGAGCAGCAGCGACGACCGGCGGTGGTAGGGTGCGAGCAGCAGCGGCGAGCGAAGGTCGATCGAGGGAGAAGATCGAACGGCGGACGGCGACGGACGGCGAACAGGAGGTCTGATGGAGAAGGTCGATCGATTTGGGGGGTTAGGGCGGAGAACGATGAACTGATCGATTTGGGGGTAGAGTAGAAAAATAATTCGCGTCCAAAGTTGCCAACTTTGGACGCGAATTATATCCGCATTAAATCATTCGCGTCCAAAGTTGTCAACTTTGGACGCGAAATTTGGCCTCATTTAATTATTCGCGTCCAAAGTTCGAAACTTTGGACGCGAATTATTTAAAAAAAAAAAAATAATATAGTGGCAATTTAATTACAAAATTACCACCGCACTACACATTCGGCGTCCAAAGTTCTAACTTTGGACGCGATTTATATGATCTTATTGATATTTTTTGTACTAGTGGGCTTACGGTAGAAGGCTGCGATGAACGAACAGATGGATCCGGCGGTGCATGAGATCGACGAGGAACCTTCGGTGCTCGAACGGGCGGATGAGGTCATAGAACGCTTAACACAACGTTGGGGCGATATAGCGCCGGAGGAGGAGGAGGAGATCGGCTTTGAGCTGGTGGGGGAAGGCGTTGGAGTAGTGGCGGAGGAGGAGGAACGGCGATGGGTGTGTGTTCGCAGGTTCTTGACAACAAAGGTGGTGAAGTTGGAGTACATGCGGCAGGTGATGGCCTCAGTTTGGCAACCGGTGTGGGGTATGCAGGTTACGGAGATTCAACCAGGGTTGTTTATGTTCATCTTTTATGATGAAACGAATATGTGGAGGGTCCTCGATGAAGGGCCGTGGTCTTTTGATAATAGCACCCTCGTTTGTAGACAAGTGGAACCGGGTACAAGGCCGGCAGCGGTTGAATTAAACTCGGTGGATATGTAGGTACAACTTTATGACTTACCGTTGGGATATACATCGGAAGCGGTTCTTGAGCAAGCGGCCAATTTTATTGGTTCATTTGTAAAAGTTGATGATCGTTATCCGGGTGCACCATGGAAGACGTTTCACCGGGTCCGTGTGTCAATACCGGTGGATAAGCCACTAAAACGAAGGATGAAACTTATTAAGCGAGATAAGACAAGCTACTGGGTAAATTTCCGCTACGAACGCTTACATAATTTTTGCTTTTATTGTGGTTTACTAGGGCATGCCAATAAATTTTGTAAGCTGGCAAGGAAATCAGGACTCACTGCGGATAAGTTTCCATATACGGTGGACCTAAAGGCGGGGGGAGGTAGCCGGGGGCTAAGACAAGTGGGGGATCCATGGTTGATACCACTAGATGGGAAGGGGAAAAGTGTGAAGGGAGGGGAGGGAAAGATGGGAGATACGGCATTGGGTGATGGTGCGGGAGGAGGGGGTGTACGGGTTGGGGAGGAGAGGGCGAGTGAGGGGGTGGTGGTAGCGGCCTCTAAGAGAAGGAGGGGGATGGGGTGGATGGTGGCAGTATAAGGATGGATGCAGGAGATGTGGTGATGTCTGAGTTCTCAAAAAACGGATTTACGGCGGGTCCTGGTGGTCAGGCCCGCCCATCTCAATGAGTACAATAAGCTGGAACTGTCGTGGCTTGGGCAATCCACAGACAGTTCGTGAAGTGGTGGACATGGTGTCTCGTAAGAAGCCCGATTTCGTCTACTTAATGGAAACAAAAGTAGATCGGAGTCATGCAGAAAGACTACGAATTAAGATTGGTTTTGAGGGTCTGTTTTATGTGGATCAAGATAGGAGAGGGGGTGGCTTAGCATTATTATGGAAAAAGAATAATACTGCTAGGCTGTTGAGTTATTCAAAGAATTATGTGGATGTGGAGGTAGCTATAAGGGAGAAAGTATGGCGAATGACATGTTTCTATGGGTTCCCATAGAGGCATAGACGCAGGGAGGCGTGGCAATTGTTGAGTGGTTTGAGGGACAAGTCTACACTGCCCTGGGTGGCTTTGGGAGACTTTAATGATTTGTTATACCAGCGCGAAAAGAGAGGGGGGAATCCTCACCCGGTTAGTCTGTTGAGAGGCTTTGGAGATACTGTATACAATTTTGGGCTGGTTCAATTGCCAATGCGAGGTCACCAGTTTACATGGGAAAAGGGGAAAGGGACTGATAGGTGGATGGAGGAAAGGCTGGATAAGGTGTTGGTGTCTACACGATGGACTACCTTGCATACTGAGGCATGGGTCGAAAATATTCTAACCCGAAAATCTGATCACTCCACTCTCTTCCTGAACACTGATATTGTACGGGGCCGCAGACATGGGGGACCGAAACAGTTTTGCTTTGAGATGGCATGGGTTCATGATGACGGTTGTCGGGGGGTGGTAGAGACTGCCTGGCAGGATAGTAGGGATAAGGGGCTGTTGATTTGTCAGCAGCATTGTGGAGGAAGGCTAATGCGGTGGGGTGGGGAGCATTGGCATAAGTTTGGTGACCGTATAAAGCAATTGAGGAAAGAGCAAGATGAACTGCGTCACAGACGGGATTCGGCTGCATTGGCCGAATTTCGCGATATTGAGGAAAGACTGGGACAGGTGGAGATGCAGGAGGATGTATTTTGGAGGCAGCGGGCGAAGCAGCACTGGCTGCGTGGTGCGGACTGCAATACCAAATTCTATCACAGGTACGTTTCCGCTCGTAGAAGGAAAAATTATATTCCTAGATTAAAAAATGATGTGGGTGCGTGGGTGGAGGGGGATAATATGAGGAAAGTTGTCTTGGAGTATTATGCTGCTATTTTTACATCGTCTAACACTGAATGTGAGGATCTCATGCTTGATAATTTTGCCCCCCGTGTGACTAGTGAGCAGAACACTATGCTCCTTCGCCAGTTTGAATTAGAGGAGGTCAAGAGTGCTTTTGTAACACCCCGTGTTACGATCCCTAAAACTAATTAATCATTTAACCAATTACCCAAAAGAAAGAATTAAATCACAATAATTAATTAGGAAAGGCCCACCATAGTCCATGGGCCCTTATCCCTAAACCCATTCCTTAGTCCTAAAAGGAATAGAATTAGCAAGCCTATAATATTAGTTCCTAATTAGGACTCTTAAATATATAAATAGGGGACTTAAGAGGCACCTAGAACCCCCACCACAATAATCCCTCACCACACAAGAAGTTCCAAGAATTCCCCTAGGAGAAATCAAGAAAGAAGAAAGCTTCAAGAAAGACCCTTCATAGCCAAGGAATTAATTAAGGCTAAAAGGTAACCCATGTCTCAACAAAACCTATTTTCATAGCTATGATTCCCCTCTTAGGATTTCCCATATTATTGTGTATTGATGATTTGTGATATTATTATTGATGATTGGTGGGATGATTCCATGGGTGATCTTGATGATGAGAGGTTCTTGATAATTATGGTGTTCTTGATGATTATATGACGTTCTTGATAGTTATATGGTGTTCTTGATGTTCTTAATGATTATATGAGGTTCTTGATAGTTATATGATATTCCTACTGAATCTTGATTTTGGAAGATGAATTGTGTTCTTGTTGATTTAAAAATAATAGAACCCTAGGTTATATCGTGGAATTCGTATGCTATTATTCTTGGTATATTGGGTGGGAATTCGCATGATTGGGTGTTGATTATGTTTTAGAAAAGCATGATAGGTTATGTGCCATATGTTTCTTGATTTTGATCCGTTAATTGTCTACGTGTGTTATCGATTGCGTTTGAAAGTGTCTAAGCATGGTTTCGGGTTCCACAAAGGTTCCCGGGGCGTTTTTGGTGAAAAAGAGTCAGTGGGCGGTAGGTGGGGGTAGGGGACCCGCCACCTACCCGCGGCCTATTTGGGCAACGCCGGCAGCGGGCAGCTGCCCGCCGGGCACCCGCTACCCGGAAAAGTGCCGCCGGCGGGTGACCCCTCACCCACCGGCTACCCGCTGGTTTGTACCCCACCTTGGGATTTTGGCTTCCCCGTTTGATGTTCCCCCGACCCCCGTGGTGTCCCAACGGACTCCGTCTATCGTGCCTATGTCTAGTTTGATATTTCGGGTACCGTTCGTAGGTTGTATGAGTCTTATATATTGCATGCTAGTTGAATTGGTATCCCGTTGACCTAGGTGAAAGAAGTATGAACCCCTTAGGATTATTCTTAGTATGTGAAGGATCACGCATAGGTTTTGTTATACGTTTTCTCCCCCTTCCCAATGTGTTAATGTGGGTTGCATGTGCTTGCTATGTGTTATATGTGCATGATACCCCAATTCGGTTGCGATCGGATTGGTTATTCCTGAGCTGCGGTTCAGAAGCTGGCTGCGGTCAGATTTACACTCTTGGGCTGCGGTCCACCGTTTGGTTGCGATCAAACGTTTCTACATGAGCTGCGGTTCATATTTCCTGGCTGCGGTCAGATGACATACTCTTGGGCTGCGGTCCACTGTTTGGTTGCGATCAAACTATGATGAGCTGCGGTTCATCGGTCGGTTGCAATCGACCCCTCCGTGTTGCGATATGGGGAAGGGTGCTGTGGGGCCGTGTCAGAGCTATATGCGCTGACCCTCATGTATGGGCATGCGATTGGTCCTGTGGCGCCAACAAAGTGTGCTATGTGATGAAATATGGATGAGTTGTTGTTACGAGTGTCTTGGGGATGTGACTATGGGATCCATACTGAGATGTTGGGTTATGATTATTAATTGTGCTTATCCTATCTGTCTTGCCTGTTGTAAACTGTATATGCTTGGTTTAATTGCTGTCTGTGCTTAACTCTATCTGTTGAGTCTATCCCTGTTTTAAAAGCTAGAGTCTCGTAGGATATATCTTCATGCTTCAAAATGGTTTTCGTATTGATACTGATTGAGGGTTTAGAATTTAGCCTGTGCACCGAGTTCTCTAGCTCGGGTGTGGCATAGCACCCCGTACTCTTTGTATCGTATTTTGGGATTTAATGAGATTCTATCTTTGTTATATAAGATTTAAAAGTCTTGGAAATTTGGGATGTTACAGCTTTGTTTGCAATGTTCCGTGACAAAGCACCAGGACCGGATGGTATGAACCCTGAGTTCTACCAGGAATATTGGGATATTGTAGGGGGAGATGTGTTTGAATTTATTGTGAATTGCTTAAACTCAGGTTCGCTACCTGAGGGATTGAATGATACTAATGTGGTTTTAATTCCGAAGAAAGATGTGCCTGAGACAGTAGCTGATATGAGACCAATAGCACTGAGTAATGTTTTGTACAGAATCATGGCAAAGGTAACAGCCAATAGGATGAAACCACTTATGGGGAACCTCATCTCAGAGGCCCAGAGTGCTTTTATTCCTGGGAGACTTATTACTGATAATATTTTAATAGCTGCAGAGGTGGGCATTATTTAAATAGAAAGCAGTGTGGTAGGAAGGGGTGGGCGGCATTGAAGTTGGATATGGCCAATGCATATGATAGGATGGAATGGCGATTTTTGAGAAGAATGTTGGAGGTAATGGGTTTTGATGACCGGTGGATTAATTTGTTGATGTAGTGTGTTACTACTGTCCAATATAACATCCTGATTAATGGTGTTAATAGTGGGAGTGTAACGCCAACCAGGGGACTACGACAGGGAGATCTTTTGTCTCCATACTTATTTCTCATATGTGCTGAAGGGTTATCTATGTTATTGCAAAGAGCGCAAATGACTGGCTTAATACATGGCTGCAGAGTTGCTAGGGGAGCCCCACAGATATCACATCTGTTTTTTGCAGATGATAGCCTATTATTTTTTAAAGCAGATAATACCAGTGCCTGGGACGATATGAGGAGCTTTCAGGACAAAAGGTAAACTATCACAAGTCCAGTGTCTGCTTTAGCAGAAATACCAGTGTGGAGGATAGGGAAGTGGTGGCAAGTTGCTTACAGGTAAACCAGGCACCCGACTTTGGGAAATATCTGGGGTTACCATCTTTTGTGGGGAGAAATAAGAGGGCAGTGTTCTCATATATTGAGGATAAGATAAAATAGAGAATAAGCTCATGGAACAAGAAATTTCTGACACAGGCAGGGAAGGAAATTCTATTGAAAAGCGTGGCACAATCTATTCCTACCTTTTCAATGAGTGTCTTCTTGATTCCAGACACGGTGTGTTTATCAATACAGAGAACAATGAACAAGTATTGGTGGGGCACTGGTATGGATAGAGGAATACACTGGAAAGCTTGGGATAAGCTGAGTATCCCAAAGAAATATGGAGGAATGGGGTTTAAAGATCTCAAGAATTTTAATTTAGCAATGTTGGGAAAGCAGGCATGGCGTCTACTCACAAGTCCAGACACACTTGTTGCAAAAGTCTATAAGGCAAGGTACTATCCGAATACCACTTTTATTGATGTCAAGATAGGAGGATACCCAAGCCACTCATGGAGAAGTATTATGGCAGCTCATGACATGGTGGTGGCACGGGTGCGCAGGAGGATAGGGGATGGTAAACGACACTAATCTGGGGACACCCATGGTTACCTGATAATCCTAGCCCTTTGGCACAGACTGATATGCCTGTAGAGCTCAAGCATGCTAAAGTGGTAGGTTTAATAGATGAACAAACTGCTACCTGGGACCCACATATTTTAGCAGACTTATTTGATGAGGAGGATTTGAGTAGAATACTGAGGATACCTGTCAGTCCAGGATATGAGGACTCATGGTATTAGCCCGATGACCCCAATGGGGTATATATGGTTAAAAATGCTTACAGGAACATTATGGGTATTTATGATCACTCACCCGGGGTTTTTGAGAAATGGACTAAAATGTGGGGAATGAAAATACCCCCAAAATGGAAGACTTTTTTATGGAGAGCAATTTGTGATATTCTTCCAACAACTAACAACTTGATTATAAAGAGGGTGGAAGTGGATCCCACATGCCAAATGTGTGGGCTAGCGCATGAGAATGTTATGCATACATTCATCAATTGTGATTATTCTAGACATGTTTGGAATATTTCAGGATTGCCAATAACAAATATTGTTGTCAACTCATTCCCCGAGTGGCTAATAATTGTGCTTACAATGTTCACAGAGGGATCAAAGTGCAGCGGTGGTGGCATTGCTTTATCTCTTATGGAGGTGCAGAAATTCAGCTGTATGGGACGGCACATTGCCGCGCCCTACGGCGGCTTGGAGGCAGGCCAAGGCGGCACTGCACTCCTACCAGCAGGTAGCGCGCCGCGGCTCGGCATCCCCCACGGCAGCTACGGCGGACAGCAGCGGCGGCTCTACCCCATGATGTTATGTCGATGCAGGATATCGGGAAGACACGAGAAAGGCTACATACGGTATTGTGTTGCTGTCTCCGGAGGGATCTTTTCTAGCGGCAAAAAATGGAAGACTATCGAATTGCTTGTCACCATTTATGGCAGAGGCTTTGGCATGTAAGGAAGCTCTATCCTGGCTATTGGAAAAGAATATAACAACAGTATCCCTTCAAACAGACTGCTTACAGCTCAGGAATGCTATACGACAGAGATCAGCTATCATAATGTCCTATGTTGGAGTAATAGTAGACCAATGTAGGAATTTAATTTCGTCTTTTAATTATGTCTTGTTAAATCATATTTCTAGGCAGATTAACGCGCATGCGCATACGTTAGCTTCGTTAGCTTTTGTTCAGGATCAAGCTATGTATTGAGATTATATCCCCCTAGACTGCATTGCAGCTTTGATTCATTAATACAATCATTCATTGGTTGACTTTCAAAAAAAAAAAGTATTTTGCATGTTTAGTAGTAAGGTGAATTGGAATAATTACCAATATTGATGTTTAGTTATGTATGGCCCTATAAATAAATTGTAGGCATATAATAGGTTAACTGAAGTTACATAATTTATTAGCTGTATGTACATAATTTATGTGTTTGTAATTAATAAATTATGTGTCTGCAATTATACCTAATATGTTAGGAGAAATCATTGTTTTTGTCGCTCAATTGTTTTACAACTGTCAATTTAATCAATAATTTTCAATTTAAACGAATGGGATCCTCGAATTGCTTTAAATTTCGTTAACTGAATCCCCTAGCCACTACTCCGTCATTGGACCGCTAGTCACCCTAATTTTAGTAGGCATTTTAGATTTTTGCTCATTATCCCCTTTTATCACCTTCAACAAGGGTGCTGAGAGGAGCAGCCATCTTAGATTGTGGAGGGAGCCGGAGTTTACCGGTGTCGACGGTGCCACGTGATGGAGATCAGCAGCGGCAGCAGCAATGGCAAATCCACAATGTTCTTCCTCGCTCCCTTTATACAACTTACCTCTCAACTTGTTCTCCAATGCCCATATTCCCCAATGCCCCCCACGAAGTCTTCTGATCGCCTTCGCCGCGCCCGCCGTCATCAAATTATTAAGCAACAATAATTAAGGCCTTGTTGAAGTTGTAAAAGGGGAAATGCGAAAAGTCTAAAATGCTCACTAAAATTAGGGTTACTAACGACTAACTAATAGAATAGTGGGGATTTAATTGACAAATTTTAAAATAATTCGATGATCACATTCGTTCAAATTAAAATTATTAGGGACTAAATTAATAGTTGCAAAACAATTGAGGGACCAGAATAGTGATTTTTTCTAATATGCTAATTATAGTATGTACATAATTTATGTGTCTACAATTAATAAATTATGTGTCTACAGTTAACATATTATGTACTTTCAATTTTATAGGCACATAATAGGTTAACTGTAAGCAAATAATCTAAATATCATTTTGGATCAAAATCTATAATGCAAAGTAGACCCTAATCCATAGTATAATTTGCTATTTTGGGTCCTCTACGCCAGGGGCGGAGCCAAGATTAAATAGTGCGGGGAGCCAACTACGGTTGAAGTAGTAAATCAAATACATTGATATCCAGTTAACATATTTCACAATAATCATAATATTATATTACAAATTTAATAAAGTTTATAATAAATCATTATAATTGAGGGTGTGTTTGGTTCATAGGTTTAGCTATCGGGAATGAGAATCAAAGTCATTGTTATTGTTTGGTTGACAGGTTTCTAGATCACTACTATTAGATTTGATTACCCCCTTAATTAGAAAACTCATTCCCTAATAAAATAAGAGTTTCATTCCATTATTTTCCCCCCTAATTGGTAATTTAATTTTTAAGTTTGGATTAGTGCTTTTAGATTTTTTTTTTTTTATATTGGCGCTTTGGATGTCTTTATATTAGAATAAATTGTCTTGATTTTTTGTTCTTGTATTTTTAAAACCTTTATTCCCATTATACGATCATACATAACAAAACAACAATATTGATAATCATTCCAATTCCACCATACTACCAAACATGCAAAATACTTTTATCAAAACCCATTACCATTGCCAAATATTTGATTCCCATTTCGATTCCCATGTGCGAGCCAAACACACCCTGAATCTATATTAAATTATTTTGTAGTATGGTTTTCAATGCACATTGCTTTGTACGGTTGAAAGAATGAAAACATTCACGAATATTTTAAAAGATTATTGATTATTTCTTGAAAACTATCCCTTCGCAACATAACATAATAACAATTGTTTTCTCAAATACATATGCTTGCATAATTCGGGATTCTCAAATGTGTTCCTGCTTCCTATTGGCTTGAGTGATGAGATAGAAAGGATCATGAACTCGTTTTGGTGGGGGTGCGAGAGAAGGGAACGAGGGGGAATAAGGTGGAGTGAGTGGAGTGACTTGTGTATCCCAAAGAAGTTGGGGGTATGGGGTTTCGTAGAGTTCGTGAGATGAATCTCGCTATACTAGGAAAGCAGGGGTGGAATTTTGCGACTAAACCCGTGTTGGGAGCATTTAAAGGGAAAGGCTTAATTTAAGCTTAACCAAGTTGTCCCACATTGATAGTTTAACCTCTCTTTTCATTCCTTATATACTTCAAGTCCTTTGAGATGGTTTGAAATGTTATGAGAAGGGAAAGGAGGTAGACCGCGCGATGTGACGCGGGGTCAACATTTTGCTCTCAAACTCTTTTTCCAAACCCTATTTTTGTGGATCCATTAGTGACCTTGTCCGCACAACATAGTGAATGTGCGTACAGGGATGGTCTTCACTGATTTGTAGTCCTACTTTTATGGGTAGTGGATGGTTGGCTATTGCACATGGAGTACTATATAAAGGTGATGGCTTTATGTTGTTAAATGCACTGGTGAGAGTGAGAGGTCTGTTCGAACTATACTGCTTGCATATATCATTCTGTATATCTGCTTCATATATATATATATATTTTATTTTTTTTATTTATTTTTTTTTTGTGAATTTTGTTTGTGGAGGGTTTAGGGTTTTTTTTTTTTTGAGATTATATGAGATGCCTCCGCAGAGGCTCGTTACGATTGATGTCTCCTGGAGTCGCTTAGTTCGTCCCGGTGCTGTGGGTTCACCTCGTTTCGCCCAACGTCCGGGGCAGGGCATGTGCCCCTGGTTGTTACGCCTGGTGCCGCCTATGTGTCACCTAGATCACGGCTCGCCAGGTTCCGGCACGTCTCGCAACGCTTCTCGGGACAGCATGGGTCCCTGTTCCTCCTTGAGTTGTAGAGGACTTGTTGAGATCCCCGGTCCGTACTGTAACACCCCGTGTTACGACCCCTAAGATCAATTAAATCGTTGATCGATTACCCAAAAGAAAGAATTAAATCGCAATAATTAATTAGGAAAGGCCCACCATAGTCCACGGGCCCTTATCCCTAAACCCAATCCTTAGTCCCAAAAGAAATAGAATTAGCAAGCCCATAATATTAGTTCCTAACTAGGACTCCTAAATATATAAATAGGGGACTTAAGAGGCACCTAGAACCCCACCCCCCCCCCCCCCCACCACAAGAATAACGCCCCACCTCCCCGAAGAGCTCCAAGAATCCCCCTAGAAGAAATCAAGAAAGCAAGAAAGCTTAAAGAAAGACCCTTCATAGCCAAGGAATTAATTAAGGCTAAGAGGTAACCCATGTCTCAACAAAACCTATTTTCATAGCTATGATTTCCCCCGTAGGATTTCCCCGTATTATTGTGTATTGGTGACTTGTGATATTATTATTGATGATTGATGGGATAATTCCATGGGTGATCTTGATATTGGGAGATTCTTGATAATTATGGTGTTCTTGATGATTATGTGGAGTTCTTGATGATTATATGTCGTTCTTGATTATTGTATGGCATTCTTAATGCTTATGTGTTATTTGTACCGAATCTTGTAATTAGAAGACGAACCGTATTCTTGTTGATATAAAAGTGATTAGAACCCTAGGTTGTATCGTATGATCTTATTCTTGGTTTATCGGGTGGGGAAATCGCATGTTTGGGTGTTGATTATATTTAGAAAAGCATGATAGGTTATGTGTCGTTCGTTTCTTGTATTTGATTCGTTAATTGTCTACGTGTTGCCGTTAATTGCATTGTAAAGTGTCTAAGCATGGTTTCGGGTTCCATAACGGTTCCCGGGGCGTAAAGTGTGGGAAAAGAGTCAGTCGGGGGTAGGGGACCCGCCACCTACCCACGGCCGTGAAATACCGCCCGGCAGCTGCCCGCCGGCGACCCGCTGCCCGGAACAGTAAAGTCCGGCGGGCAGCCGGCGGGTGGCCCCCCACCCACCGGCTACCCGCTGGAAATTATCCCATCTTGGGATCCCGGCTTCCCCGTTTGATGTTCCCCCGTTCCCCGTGGTGTCCCAACGGACTCCGTTTATCGTGCCTATGTCTAGTTTGATATTTCGGGTACCGTTCGTAGGTTATGGGTCTATTATATTGCATGCTAGTTGAATTGGTATCCCGTTGACCTAGGTGGAAGAAGCATGAACCCCTTAGGACTATTCTTAGTATGTGAGGGATCACGCATAGGTTTTGTTATACGTTTTCTCCCCCTTCCCAACATGTTAATGTGGGTTGCATGTACTTGCTATATGTTATGTGTGTGTGTAACCCCGAGTTGGTTGAGATCAATCGGGCTATACGGGCAGTCGGATGGGCTGAGAACCATACCGGCTGTTAACCAGGCTGGTAGAGACCGGTCAAGTATATAAATATTATATAGGACTAAGTTCCACTATACGGGCAGTCGGATGGGCTGAGAACCATACCGGCTGTTAACCAGGCTGGTAGAGACCGGTCAGGTACATAAATATTATATAGGACAAAGGTCCACTATACGGGCAGTTGAATGGGCTGAGAACCATCTCAACTGTTAACCAGGCTGGTAAAGACCGGTCAGGTATATAAATATTATATAGGACAAAGGTCCATCAGCCGGTTGCGATCGGCTCCTCCGTAATGTGAGACGGGGCAGGGTGCTGCGGGGCCGTGTCAGAGCTATATGCGCTGACCCTCATGTATGGGCATGCGATTGGTCCTGTGGCGCCAACAAAGTGTGCTATTTGATGAGAT